CAAGGGGATCTGAGCATGTTCCATAAGTTTGGGTGGCTCAACCTCTTCCTGCTTTACCATTAAGAAAATAAATCGGGCAGAAGCCCAAATATGTTTCATAAGTTTGGGTGGTCTTGGTCCAATGCCATGCAGATGCTGGAACCCAAAGGTTATAACTTGACTATATTTTATTACTACTTCACCTATGAATAGGCTAGTCAGACACTCTCCCATAAGTTTGGGTGGTCTGACTATAGCTTATCACAGACTGAACAGTGGTAAGAAGGGGCAGGTTGAACCTCGAGCTAAGATGATCGGTTCAGTCATATGCTACCTTAAAAGATTAAGTGCAGATAATTATATATAACGTGGATACTTAAACAGTTCAGGGCGACTAGGATGGACAACCTAGTCATATGCCCAAAGGGAGAGAAAAGTTGTAGTATCCTTTGTTTGTATATACATGATGGTTGAGCTAAACATTGTTCCATAAGTTTGGGTGGTCTAGCTTTACGCCTTAAGTAAGTTGGGTATAAGGGATAAATCATTGAAAGCCTACAAACTATTGTTTGACCAAGTTGGCTTTGGGCTGGTGAGAGTACTTACCATTGTGGTTTGGCCTTGCATGTGGCTGAGTGAGATTACTACTTAGTCTGAGTTTCAATTTGATAGGTAGTTGCCTTAGATGCTCGCCACGTGCTAGAGCTATAGGAGTTAGTTCAATTTCTGCATTTTCAAAGCCGACTTTCTTTTACTTAGGTCTATTCTTGCATTTTCTGGGATCATTTGTTATACTTTGAATTTTCAAAGTTCAACTTGTCTAAATTTTATATATGGCTTAAGTACAAATCTGGAAAGTCTGCTTTTCTAAGGGGAGTGCTGGCCAAATTTTTGTTAATTCAGAGAGTTAGACAAAATTGGACCTTGAGAAGTCAAAGTTATTCTTGGATTCTGAATTTAGCTTTGTATAAATTTTGGAAAGCTACTTTCCCTACGGGAAGCGCTGTCGAAATTTCTACAAATCTAAGGAGTTTAGATCAATTTTGTCCTGGTTGAACTCGAGTTTACTTTGAGTTCTGATCTGACTTGGTATAAATCTGGGAAGTCTACTTTTCTAAAGGAGATGCTGTCCAAATTTTTACTAATTTAGGGAGTTTGACAAAATTTGACTTTATAGAGTTAAAGATTATTTCAACTTTCATATTTGGGCTGGATAAATTATGAGAAGGCACTTTTCCTACGGGAAGCGCTACCGAAATTTTCTTAGTTCAAAGGAGTTAGATTATATTATGACAGGTGACGACTTTTGACAATCCACTCTGCATAGGGGAGATTCTGCCATAAGTCTACCTTTCCTTGAGCACTGGCTTAGAGGTAGACTTAGACTTAGTTATTAGGAGATGTTGAGAGAGAATGTGCTATGGAGATTCATTCCCCATACACTGATAGTCAAGCCTTGGGAATTGGTCTGTCTTGTGTTACAGGTCCTTCGTTTGATTGATTCGATTCAAGGATTGGACTAGATTCAGCTTGATCCCACAAGAGTCATCTTCTGTTATCACTGATAACAGGTCGGTTGGTTGATCGCCGACTTGTCGGCTCATGACACAACTTTGCTTATATCTGTACCTCAACTTGATGCCTTAGACCTGAGATTTGATATGTTTCTTTGCGGGTTTTAACCGAAGTTCTTTTAATGACCATTATAAAAAACTTATGAGATTTATGGAAAGTTGGACTATGACTGGGGCTTGAGTGTGTGAGGCGTGATGTGAGTTACAGAGAACAGTAAAGTTGGCCCCATTGGTGTATGGCAATGTGGCATTCGTTTGTGTTTGTGTTTTATACAGGTCAGTGTTTTGGAGTCTGTGTACGAACCTTACTTTGGAGGCAGTGAGAATGACAACCATGTGTCGCACGATCTGTATACCTGATGAGTTTATGTTTCCCTTTCTTTTATTTTATCTCGAGTTCTGAATTGATATATGGGTATCGGGGTGATTGATTATTTTTCTGATTAATTTTGCTTGTTAATTTTTATAGTTGGACATTGGAGTCCGTGGCAGCCGTCAAAGTCAAACCCCTTGAGTTTTCTCCAGGCCTTGGATGATGGAGTTGGTCTCCAGGGCGATAAGAGACGATTGCCACCACAGGTATAAAAACTTGTGTACCGCCCACTCTCCGCAGGATGCAAAAGAGGGCGTGGTTCTCAACCGCACTTGGCGGTTGTCTAGCGTCGATAGATTAACCCCTCAAGGCGCGTGTCAGCCAACACTTGAGTGTCGAATGCGACCCTCGAGATTATCAAGGAGCACATGAGTATGGGTACTACATAGTACGCCATCATTGCGACTGTCTGCGTATTCATGCATTGCTAGTCGATATGAGAAGGCCCTGCGTCCACGCGGTTTTATACTAAGTCTCGCGCGACTCCTATCCGAATTTCCGCGTCGGAAGGTTATGGGATGACTATAGAAGGGACTATGAGTGTTATTGTGTTGTTTGTTTTGTGTCGTTCCATGTGTGTGAGTAGTGTGGTGTACGCGTGGTGTGCGGGAGGCGTCCTAGTCGACCGACGACGAATCACGCTTGGGACTTCATCCCTCCAGTGCGTCGATTCGCGTGCAGGTTCGATAGAGGCGTAAATCCACGCGTACCCCCTATGCTACAACGAACGAGAAACACCCTCGGCTGGTCCACCTATGCGATTGCAACTGATTAGCTTTCATACTGTGGACTGGTAGCTTGGCGGGGATACGCCCACCGAAAGGAGGTGATAGCTCGCGTAAGGTGGAGGTAAGTTGTACCTCGCGTTGGCCCTATCTTGTCGTAGGGGCTCGCAAGAGGTATGGCTGGCGCACTCGGGCGGAGCGGCTTGCGGAAGCTCCATGTGTATCACGACGAGAATCAGACCAACTCTTGCGTGACGAGGTCAGGAGGGTCCCGCCCATGTGTGGTGCGGGACCGATGCGCTTGACAGCGCCTCGTCCCCACCATCGCTGCCTCGTCGCCAATCCCGAAGCCGACGCGCAAGTAAGCCGAAACCAAAATTTTATTATTATTTTTTCTTTTTTTCTTTCTTTTCTTTCTTATTCTTCTCCTTCCTTCTCCCCCTCACTTCCTTCTTCCTCTTCTTCTTCTCCTCGTCGTCGTCGTCATCCCTCCTCCTTCGTCTTCTTTTTCCTCGTCGTCACCTCCCCCTCCTTCATCTTCGTCCCCGTCATCGTCGACCACCCCTCGCCATTCCTCCTTCCTCCACGCGCCACCATCTCCCACCTCCTGCTCGCTCCCCCCTTCGCGATTTTCCGCCCCCCCCGTCGCTCCCCTTTGTCCCCTCTCGC